TTTCATATTACGAGAGTTTATTCATTCCGGGCGCGAGTGAGAGTGTGTGTGATACCTTTTTGTGAGACAGCGCAAGAGACGTCGCGAGGACGTAACATTTTGGGGGCTCGTCCGAGATCGAACGAACAACGAGCTACGAAAAATAATTAAGAAAATTCGCGCGAGAATCGGTTTCAAAGTAAAACCCGATACGTTTGACGGGAAAGTTCTGCTGCGGGAGTTCTTCTCCCAATTTCTTTTAGTCACGCGCGCGAATAATTGGGACGAATCCGCGAAGACCGTTGCTTTGACCGCGAATTTAAGAGGAAAAGCGCGAACTGTTTTAGAAAATATAGAGAATTTAGATAACCTCAGTTTTGCCGAATTAAAATCAAAATTAGAATTACTTTTTGGGGAGGGAAATCTTACTCAAAACTATTATTCTTTCTTTACAAATCGGAAACAAAAATTTGGGGAAGACCTCGCTTCTTTTGGTGCCGAATTAGAAAGATTGTCACGACTCGCATATCACGAATGTCCTTACGCGGTGAGGGATAAAATCGCGTGCACGCAATTTATCTCTGCTCTCTATGACGGTTTCTTGAGAAGGACCCTTCAATTAGAGGGGATAATCTCTTTAAATTTGGCCGTTGAAAGGGCAAAAACTATAAAAATTATTCAAGGAGAAAATTTTGAAAGAAAGAAGGAAAATTTCGGAAAATTTAACAGCGCGAATTTCCAAAATGTGGGGAGGAACGACGCGCGAAAGGATTTTGATAAAAGAAACGGGAACGATAATAAGAACAATGAAAACAGCGCGCGAAAATCAGATTATGAAAATAGAAATCCTTCGAGAGGAGGATGGCGAAGAAATAATTTTTCCTTGAAGGGCAAAGAGTGTTGGACGTGTAGTAAAACGGGACATTTTCGATTTGAGTGTCCTAAGGAGAAGGGAAACGCGGTTTAGTTGAGCTGTGCGGGGTGAGCTCGACTTTTTCCGAAAAAGCCCCGATATCGAATCGATTTGTAGATTTTAGTATTGATAGAGTTAGAGAAAATGATTTTTATTATCTCGGAAAGGTTAACGGTGAAAAATGTTCTTTAAAAATAGACACGGGCTCCGATGTTTTACTTATAAATGAAAAATTGTTGAATAAGGATGTAGAAAAGATTCAAATTAAAAATTGTAATTTAAAATATCCTACAGAGGAGAGAAGTTTTAATTAATTTTCTAGTAGAAGTTAGAGTAGAGATTGGAAGATATTGTGTTTCTATTCCTATGTTTGTCGCCGCCATAAATGATAATTGTATTTTGGGAACAGACTTTCTTAAAAAGATTAATTTACAAAATATTTTTGATGATGAATTTAATGAATTAAAGTCATAAGAAAATAAAACTTTTAATTGTTCTAGAATTGAAAACTCTTGTAAAGTTCCAATTATTTTAGAAAATCTTTTTGAAAATAATTCTTTGAATTTGAAAGAAACAGAGAAAGAAATTTTTGCAAAACTTTTTAAATGATTTCTCTGATGTATTTTCTGAAAACTGTAGGCTGGCAACTGTAGTGTTGTAGAACATGTCATTAACATAAAAGACTCTCTCCCCATTAAGCAGGCACCTCGTCGAATTCCCATTCATTTAAGGAAGGAAGTAGATAAAATTATTGAGGACATGAAGAAACAAGGAGTAATAGAGGAATCGCAAAATCCATGGATCTCTTCGGCCGTTATGGTGAAAAAGAAAAACGGCAGTATAAGATTTTGCATTGATTATCGGAAATTAAATAATGTGACGGTAAAAGATTCATACCCTCTTCCCAGGATTGACGATATTTTAGATCAACTCTCAGGTAACTCTTGGTTTTCCACATTAGATTTAAAGAGCGGTTATTGATAACTAAAAGTCCGTTCCAAGGACAAAGAAAAGACGGCTTTCTCGATCGGCAGGGGTCTGGCAATTTACAGTAATGCCGTTTGGTTTATGTAATGCTCCCGCGATTTTCGAAAGATTAATGAAAAAAGTCTTACATGGCCTTTTATCAAAAAAATGTTTAGTATATTTAGATGATATAATAATTTTTGGAAAAACTTTTGATGAAATGTTAGAGAATTTGAATTTAGTATTTTCGCGATTGAGAGAAGCTAATTTAAAAATGAATCCCAAAAAATGTATTTTCTTTCAAAGAAATACGAAAGATTTGGGACATATTATTTCAGAAGAAGGCATTACTACGGATTCCGAAAAGATTATAGCCGTGAGAGATTGGCCGGTCCCCCATACTAGAAAACAGTTACGAAGCTTTCTCGGTTTTTGTTCGTATTACCGAAAATTTGTGAAAGGATTTTCTTCTTTGGCAAAATCTCTTTACGTGTTAACAGAGAATCAAATTAAATTTGTTTGGGGAAAAGAATGCCAAGATGCTTTTGAGAAATTAAAATCGATGTTATCGTCTTCTCCGATATTATTCTTTTCTAAGAGAGAAGATGAATTTATTGTAGATACTGACGCGTCTAATATCGGTATCGGTGCAGTGTTATCCCAGAGACAGATGGGAAAAGAGAAAGTGATCGCTTATTTTAGTAAAACGCTTAGTAAGACTGAGCGGAATTATTGTGTGACTAGAAGAGAATTGTTAGCAATAATAGATTCTTTGAAATTTTTTTGTCATTATCTTTTAGGTAGAAAATTTGTAATTCGTACGGATCATGTATCGTTAAAATGGTTGATGTTTTTTAAGGATCTAGAAGGACAATTGGCTCGATGGCTCGAAAGACTTCAAGAATTTGAGTTCAAAATTATTCATCGAAAAGGACAATCTCACGGGAATGCCGATGGATTATCCAGGCGGTCATGTGAGGCTTTCGGATGCGAATACTGCGCTACAGTTGAAACGAAAAACGCAGAAGAAAGAGAGAAAATGGTCGCTTGCATTATGCTTGCGGGAGAAGATCTGGAAGAGTGGCGTCGTGCTCAGCAAAAAGATCCAAACATTTCATTTATTATACGAGGAAAAGAAACAGGAAAAAGACTATTGCATTCGGAAGTTCCTACCAAGAATGTTTCAACTCAGATTTATTGGTCTTATTAGGATTTTCTCGTTCTAAAAAATGGAATTCTCTATAAGAGATGGGAAGCCCTAAATCTTCAAACTAGTCTCCTTCAATTAATAATTCCTCAAGATCAAAGAGATTTTACAGGAAACTCATGATTCTCCGTCCGGAGGACATTTCGGAGTTAACAAGACTCTTGAGAAGATTCGAAAAAGATTCTTTTGGGCGAATTGTAAGCAAGACATTGAGAAGTGGTGCAGAACCTGCAAGATATGTATATCAAAGAAAGATCCTTCTGGGAAAGGAAAATCCCCTTTGCAAATAACCGTATTTTAATCGCGCTCTACTCTACATAATGTATAATGCAGAAGGATATTCGACACACTTTGACATTATTTGACACAATATTTCTTGTCGAATAATCTCACGTGAAATATTTTGTGTTTTCACTATAGTAAAAATTAGCCAATCAAGAATGCTTACTTTTGTCATTTTCACTAGGTTTTGAGATACACAATCGACTCCCTCGTGTAAGATTCTTAAAGTTTTTTAAAATGGAGATTACTTCGTCGGCGGTCAAATCGTCCGTCATAAAATCACAAATGACGCCAACTAATGCTTTGAATAACAATTTTAACATAAACTCGTTTATAGTTCTACCGACAATTGTGCAGTTCATTTATAATTTAGAAAAAAAGATCAAAATTGTCCTCGGGATATCTTATAATTTCTACTCTTAATTTCCCTTTGGGAATTATTAATAATATAAAGATTTTCTACGAGGACTGCGAACAAATCGGCATCTATTAATCCTGTAGCTAAGTCAATTAATAGTCCAATAATAATATCAATAATAGAATAAAGACCTATTTTCCTGAGGTTTTGTACAGTCTTATCCTAAAATTTAGGTTTCATTTGAAATAACGAATAGATAGTTATATTTCATTTTATTAAATATTTTATATGAGTATACAAATGTACATCTCTAAAGTAAAATCGATATTAACGAATAATTGTTTTCCGTCGGATATTATTAATAAATTTGTGAATAATAGGTTAAAATTGCTTAAGACACGAAATAATGACGATCACAATGTGGATAACGACAATTCAGTTAGTAAAAAATTTGACCGTATTATACAATTACCGTATGTCAAAGAACTTAGTGAGGATGTTTCGAGATTATTACGATTTACTGGCATTCAAAGCGTTTACTGCATACCGAAAAAATTAAATACATTAATTAGACGCGTCAAAGATCCATTACCTTTAGAAGAAAAAATAGGAGTAGTATATAAAATTAATTGTGCAAATTGTTCCTCATCATATATTGGTCAAACTAAACGACAATTAGGCACACGTATAAAAGAACATTTTAATAATTTTAAATTACACAATAGTAATTACTCAGTTATAAGTAACATAATCATAAATTGGATAATAGTCATGATTTCGATTGGTCTACTCCAGAAATTTTACATCATGAGAAATACGTAAGTAAACGAGAAATCGCGAAGATGTTTTTTATCAAAAAATTTGACAACACAATTAATTTACAAAAAGACACGGATAATCTAAATAATGTTTACGAAAAACTAATAAAGGTCGTTTAGTTTGATCAAAATAGTGAATATATAAGGAGCTCGAAATCGACACGATAACATAGTTATTTCGTTTTATACTATCATGTTATTATATGATGTCATATTCTAAGATCAAATTTTTGTTTTTAAAAAAAGTTGTGATTTACTTTGATTTAAGAACATAGGTATGGTTGCGTATTAACGTGTGAATATTTTTATATATTTTATTATGTTTATATTTATTTTTCTAATAATTAATATTATATTATAGCACTTGATAAGGGCCGAAACCTACGGCCAAAACGTTGTGAAAATTCAATAAATTTAATTATTTGCCAGAATTGGTCGATTGAATTATTACCATTTTTTAATCATCATCTGGTGACTTCATAGTTTTATATCAGTACTTAATTTAATTTTGCAAATAGGCTGTGTATTGGTCTATTTGCATATCGCTTTCTAGTAATTGGTCCTTTAGTCTCGTACTTAAATCGATAGGTAATAACTCTTCTTGTGAGGTATCTTCTTTAGGTTTAGATTCCCTATTTAATTCGAGGTAAGTTAATAGGTCTGAAGCGGCTGCCGGTAGATCTGGAGTGTGGCTTTCCGTAGGCTTAGTTTTAATTCTATTAGACGCGGGTGTTAAAGCTGATTGTGAGTTGGTAGAGTTAGGAGAGATGCTAGTCTTCCAGAAGCTGCGCAATATGTATCGAGGGAACGAAACCGTCTCGATTGTTTTGATGCGAGGTTTATTGGTAATCTGTTCGCGTGTTAACCAACGCAGGCACGCGGCTGCGTGCTTTGCACGGGTCTTTACGCCGGCTCGATGGTTTTGTTTATTTCGCCGTTCGTTTTTAGCTTTCCGGTTGCTCATCTACAATGGAATTAAAATGCGTCTAGATCAAAGTATTTATTTGGTTTTATGTAATAAGGGGGGATAAATAAGTAGTTCTCGGGAGGTGAAGGAAGTTCGATGGTTGGAAATGAGGCAAAATCATCAAGGGCAGAATTGTACTGTTCGATAAAATATAATTACATAAAAAAATTATTTTTTATATTTAAAATAAATAAACGTAGGAAACTAGAAAAAAATAAAAACAAATAAAATAATAAATAATAAAATCTGATATTTATTGAATCACTTATTTATTTGGATGGTGTTCAGGCTAGGACCACAAACGTAGCCAGTTTAATTTAATTTTGTAATTAAATTGTTGACTTACACTATGGTTTATTCTCTGATGTTATATTTTCTTGACTTTTTACTATTTCCTATATTTATCTTACTAAATATGTATAATAAATAAATATTTATAATTTAAATTTAAGAATATTGTCAAAGTATGAATTTTCTCGGATTTACCTTTCTCTTTATTAGGAATCAAATTAAAAATCATTATAAAGAAATTAATTATAATTTATATACAATAATTATATATATACATATATATTTGTAATATATATTATAAAATATATATTATATATAATAATATATAATAATAAATTTTATTCAATTTTTTAAAAATTTCATATGAAAAATATGTATTTTTTTTATATACAGTTAAAGCAACAAAAATTGTGTATAATTTTATTATTTATTTAGCTAGAATGCATAAATGTATTCTAGATTTGTTTAAATTACTTGAATCAATATGATTACACGCGTTTTTATGAGTACATTTTTTATAATTTATGATATTACTTTTTTTTGCGTTCTTTAACAATTATCGTCTAACATAATTCGATTATTTATCTTCGATCATAATATTAAGAATTTTTATATGTCTTTTTGTTAATAATTTATTTCTCTTGTCTTCTATGAATCATTATTCTTAATCGTTTCTAGCTTTTATAATTTATAAATTATTTAATGTCATATAATATTAAATTTCTTTTAAATAATTTTTTTTATAATTGAATAAAAATAAAACAATAAGATTAAATCATTTTTTTACAATAATAATATCATTACAATTATAATAATACAACATATTTATTATACGCTGTAGAATTCCTACGGAAAGTAATTTTATGGAAATACAAAGGGAACCACAAAGTATACACGAGGAAATTGAACAATTGAGAAATCCAGATGAATTATTTACGCCAAGTAATGTTTTTGACATAATCCAAATGTATGACTCAACTGTGTAAGTTATACATTATTTTCATTTTTAAAAGTGCTAGTAATATTTTTTTCATATTTTATATATTATATAAAAAAAATCTTTTAAAAAGAGAAAAAGAGAGAAGTATTTTTTAATTATATATTATCTTTTTTCCTCCATTTTTATATACATTAATAATAAATTATTTTTAAAAAATTTTATTTTAAAACAATATACTAATTAAATGCTCTTTAATTCAAGTAAAGTATTACACATATAAAAAGCTAATAAGAGCAGAAGTAATATTATGGTTATAAAAACTAATTTGTTTTAAAAGTAAAAATAATATTAAAATTTTTTATTTATTATCGATATATACAAAACAAGGATGATAACTATATATGTATATGTATATTCATATGCCAAATACTTTTTTATCTACATTTTACAAAATGATATTTTATGTATGAATTTATAAATAATTTATGTCTGAGACATTTTGCTCTAAAATCAAAACTAAAAGAGTTATGTGGAGTGCACACTTAAAATGACACATCCTGTATATATATATATATATATATATATATATATAAAATTTTTAACTTCTTGAATTTGGTAATTTAAACAAAAATTAACGAGATATCAAATGTTTAATGTTTTCAATCTTTAAAATTCTGAAATAAAACTATAAGTTAAAATAAGTAAAAAATTATTATAAAAAATAAAAATAAAATAATATTTAAAAAATGGGTTCCTCCAGCGAAGATTTGGAAACATTACAATAAGATGTTGAAAATTTATTAAGTGATGAAGATAAATCTAAAGTCGAATCAATTGACAATGAGTAAGTAAATTACGTATATAAAGGTTAAAAAATATCATATGAAAATTATATATTTTTCTTAAATATAGTTAAAGCAACAAAAATTGTGTATAATTTTATTATTTATTTAGCTAGAATATTTATATAAATAATAGAATTTTATATAAATAAAATTTATATAAAAAAAGAAATTAATTATCTTTCCTTTTTTTTGCACTTTTGATATAATAGTATATATTTAATTAAACTTTATTCTTCAACTGGCAATCGAATCATTTTTTTATTATAGAATATATTTAATTAAATATATATATTTAAAATAATCAAACGTAGAAAACTAAAAAAAATAAAAACAAATAAAGTAATAAATAATAAAATCTGATATTTATTTATCCACTTATTTATTTGGATGGTGTTTAAGCTAGGACCATCAAAAGTAGCCAGTTTTACAAAAATAAATAAATAATTGATGATTATAAGTAAAATATATAACTTTTCTATAGCGCTGAGTAATAAACATTTTAAAACAAATAAAGATTCACTATTTTTGAAAAAAGTTTATATTTAATTCATTTGCTTAATTTATAATAAACAATAAATATTTTAAAGTAAATAAAAATGCAATATATTTAAAAAGTAAAGTGATTGAAACTATGTTTAATTATTATATTATTATATTATTATATTATATAATTAAACAAATACTTTATAAATAAATTTTTTTAAAGAGGTGCAATATAAAATATTAGATTATTTGATTAATTATTATATATAGAATATTAAATATTTGATTAATTAGAAACTAAAAATAAAACATTAATTAGATTGTATAAAATTGTCTATAAAATATTGATCATGCATTTGGATGCACGCATTAAATATTTTATTATGTATTTTTAATATCTTTTTTAAAAACATAACATTTTACTAATTTGAATTTAAGTAATCCAAGTATTTCTACATTATATGCACAAATTTTTTCGATGGTTATATAGTAAAATATTTTTTGCATAACATATTTTAGTTTTTTTTAATGTATACAAAAAATGTAGTTAAACTCATAAAAATAACAATTTTTATTTGTATCTGAATTTCTGAGTAAAAACAATTTTGTAAAATTTTATATGACTTAAACGAAAGTCAAAATATATGCGAATTGGATCTTGTATAAAATTTCAACAAAATTCTTCACTGATTAATATTGAATTTTAGTCAGTGGAAATAAAACATCTTTTATTTTCAAAAATTTTCCAATCTATTATAAATTAAAATTTTAATATAGATAATAATCTCAGGACTTCCTCATCTCATTCTTGAAAAGAATTGCGTGCTAACATGAAAATGTGAGATATATTATTTTATTTGGATCAATAATTATTATCAAAATAACTTGAGAACATTATGTAAATGTAAATGAAATATTATGCTTTATATTCTCGTAAATGAAAATAATATTAAAATTTTTTAATAATTATCGATATATACAAAACAAAGATGATAACTATATATGTATATGTAAGTTTATATGCCATATATTTTTACATCTACATTTTATACAATGATATTTTATTTATGTATGAATTTATAAATAATTTATGTCTGAGACATTTATCTCTAAAATCAAAACTAAAAGAGTTATTTGGAGTGCACACTTAAAATGACACATCCTGTATATATATATATATATATATATATATATATATATATATAATAGTATATATACATATATACATATACATAAATCGTTAAGTGATGTAAGTCATAATGCACGATTAAATTTTAAACTTCTTGAATTTGGTAAATTAAACAAAAATTAACGAGATATCAAATGTTTAATGTTTTCAATCTTTGAAATTCTGCAATAACTATAAGTTAAAATAAATAAAAAATTATTATAAAAAATAAAAATAAAATAATATTTAAAAAATGAATTTCTCCAACAAAGATTTGGAAACGTTACAAAAAGATGTTGAAAATTTATTAAGTGATGAAGATAAATCTAAAGTCGAATCAATTGACAATGAGTAAGTAAATTACGTCCCTCTCTCTCTCTCCCTCTGTCTCTGTCTCTCTCTCTCTCTCTCTCTCTCTCTCGCTCTCTCACTTTCCCTCTCTCTCTCTCTTTCTCTCTTTCTCGCTCTCTTATATTTTCTTTACTTTCTCCCCAGTACAAAAGTTTTAGTAAAAATAAGAACACATCTATTTAAACATTGTATTAATGTTTTGAAATAATATTTTTTTTATTTTTTTTTAATCTTTAATAAAATATATATTTATTTAAAATTCAATAAAAGTTTAATTTAATATTTTTTAATTATTATCTCTATTTACACGATATAGTTAACTCTCAATGCCTTCAAAAAATTTTAATATTTAATTTAATTTTGTAGTTAAATTGTTGACTTACACTATGGTTTATTCTCTGATGTTATATTTTTTTGACTTTTTACTATTTTCTATATATATCTTACTAAATACGTATAGTAATTATTTATTATAATTTAAATTTAGAATATTGTCAAAGTATGAATATATATATAATTTTATTTTTTTTCATTTTCTCGGATTTACCTTTCTCCTTATTAGAAATCAAATTAAAAATCACTATAAAGAAATTAACTATAATTTATATACAATAATTATATATATATATATATATATATGTAATATATATTATAAAATATATATTATATATAATAATATATATCAATAATTTTATTCAATTTTTTAAAAATTTCATATGCAAAATATATATTTCTCTTATATATAGTTAAAGCAACAAAAATTGTGTATACTTTTATTATTTATTTAGCTAGAATGCATAAATGGATTATTAATTCGTTTTAACTACTTGAATCAATGTGGTTACACGTTTTTATAAGTAAATTTTTTATAATTTATGACATTACTTTTTTTTGCGTTTTTTAACAATTATCGTCTAACATAATTCGATTATTTATCTCCAATTATAATATTAAGAATTTTTATGTCCTTTTGTTAATGATTTATTTCTCATGTCATTTATGAATCATTTTTCTTAATCGTTTTTAGCTTTTATAATTTATAGATTATTTAATGTCATATAATATTAAATTTTTTTAAAATAATTTTTTCTATAATTTAATAAAAATAAAACAATAAGATTAAATCATTTGTTTACAATAATAATATCATTACAATTATAATAATACAAAACATTTATTATACGCTGTAGAATTCCTACGGAAAGTAATTTTATGGAAATACAAATGGAACCACAAAATACAACCCTTTTTAGTCAAATTTACGGAATCCTAATCACATCAAATTTATATGATAACTAAAAGAGAAACACTAATTCTTTCAGAATTCATACTGAAACGAAACACGATTCTGTAAGTGCGACTAAGAATTATCCGAGTACACATTTGAATATGTAACCCTTTAAATATTGTATTAATAAATTATGGATCCATAAATAATTTTTGATTTATTTTATTAACTATAAATACCAAATATTATTGATGAAGTATGCCATAATTAACTATAATATATTATAATTGAAAGATGCCATAATTGACTGATCAATATGCGTAAAAGGATCAAACAAGGAATAATAAATGTACTGCTAGACATAAGTATTCGTAGAGATCAACTTGGCGACACGATGGCTTGTAACCTGACCTCGTATGACCCCCTGCCGCATTCCTGAGCTTTAGGAAAGAAACCAACACCCTACGCCGAACCAAAGATTTAGGAAGCGAAATATTATCTTTATCATTATAAGCTACAACTCAAACTATCAAAATGCTAGCCCTTGAATCCTTACAGAATAACGTTGCACGTTCTTTTATTTTAACAATAAAAACCTCTCAATTTTTAATATAATGGATATTCAAAGAATTACAATCTTTACATTTTGTAATGGCTTCTAGGGCACGCAATTTAACTCTTTAGTATAAATTATTAATGATAAATATTAACGATTTATAAATAAGCAATTCGGAAACTATTGTAAAAATTTCCATTCGTCTATTAAGAATCGTAATTATACTGCGCCAACGAACCATCTTAGCTGATGGACCACCCTTCGCCCCCTTTTCGATGACGCAAACCGAATTCCTACGGAACCATAAACATGTCAAAATCTGAGCACGCCTGGTCCTCCAAAGGGTATATAAACCGCGGATTTGGCGTCCTGCAAGCACTTTGCTTCTCGTCAACCTCTAGAATAGGTCATTTTGTATTACTATTTTCTAAATTCTAAATTCTACACTTAGCCGATTACGGTTAATCTAGTTTTCGTGTCACTTAGTACTTAGATTTTTCCTGCGAATTCTTATGTTAGTTATCATTCTCGTTAACTCATCTGATAGTTTAAATTCGTAAATTCCAAATTGTACGATTATAAGTCACAGACTTAGAAATTGTTCATAAATAAGAAATAAAGAATTAAAATTAATATAAAATCAGTGCACGTCTGTTCTTCCAATTCCACCCTGAGACCGAGGTCCCCAGGAGAACTACAGCCCAGGCATAGTCACCAGGAACAACAGAGCAGATCTTCATCTCCGTGCGAAATCAAGTAAGAACTAATCCTTTTAATCCTTGATCTAATTTATAATCTCCTAATAACTAATTAACTAATATTATAAGGATGAACATATCCTTGTAAATGGACAGCCGGAAACGCAACCTTGTACGTAAGAAGAAGCGTACACGCCCTTCAATAATTAGAAAATACAGATCAATCGCGACTACTTTCTCGAGTTCTCAAGAGAGATTATCCGGAGATAAACAATTACCTGAGTCTCAAGAGGTGATCTCTCTTGATTTACCCCAAGGTTCCGAATCAATTGACAATTCTCAATATAAAATAGAACCTTTATTCCCAATCCCCCTTGAGGAAATTGATAATATAATCAACGAATTAATAGAATCGTCTAAGAATTCCTATCAAGATTTTCCACCTTTCGAGGACTATAATTTTTCTGCTGTCTCTTTACCAGAATTGGTAAGCTCAGGACTGATAGAACCTCCCCTTGAAATTGACGACTATTCGAAGTATCCAAATCTTTAATAATTTCAACTCGCGATTATTTACCGATTATTCTAAATGTTCAAATCCTTGATAATAGACCATTATTTTATTTTATTAATAACGTACTTTAACTTCATATCTTATATCCTAAATAGGAAATACGATTTTGAATTAATATTAATTTTCCTGGACGATATTATATATTCCTACGAACATTCCCTATTCCTAAAATTCCCCAGATCCGAAAAGTCAGTTCCAGCTCTCGGCGCACCCAGGGTATAGTCGGTGCATGCAGATTGCCCTAAATAAATAGAGAGCTAACCCTTTCTTCATAGACCTAGAGTAATAGAGGAGGAAAGAAGGTCACTCAGACGTGACACAAGGAAGGATCGAAACGTATAATTAAAATAATTTTTTGTCTTAGTTTTTGTTTTTTACTTACGCCTTTACCACCCGCGTTGCGGCTCTTATTGGCCTATTATTGGATTTTTATTGTGTTTATTTATCAGAGCCTTATATATTTTACTTCTTAGTTATTTTAAATTAACATGATTTAAAAAAGAATTTCTCACTCGCTACAGCATTGGGCTGTTTATTAAAGCAACTCTTTAAAGAAGGCTCAAACGTAATTTTATCATCCTCTAATTTCGACTTATTATGACTTGACAAACTCATTTTTCAAATTTGCGACGTGACTTATGATACACCCTGTATATCTGTATCTATATTTCTACCTACTATTTAGGTTTCCAATATAGGCAATATATACGCTTGATATCCAAGAGAATATCGCAACGTAGACCAAGTCTTCTAGCTACGCTGCGATATATTGTTAATACAATTGCTTCTTGACCAAATTTATGTTGTAAAACCTGTGCCAAATATCACAATAAAGAAATTAATTAAGAAGAATGAGAAGTTATATTAAATATAATAAACATATATATATATATATATATATATGTCGCTAGTAATTATAATATATTATAATCCATACGGACTTACATTATCTATGCACATGTATTCCAATTTTGAATCGTTCCATTTGCATGATCGAAAGTTTAATTTACCAAATATATATTCCTGGAGTGTATCCATGACCTGGATACTTTCTGCTTCGTCCCAATGATTATCATCAATAATGTTGTTTTCCCAATAGGAAAAAATTGCAGCGGACGTCGAGAATATTGAATGGTTGGGATGTATCTTTTTGAGACAATCCAATACACCTTATGCGATTCTATCCAACGATATTTTTACGTTCGAGTGACGCACATCTTTCCTAGGTTGAAAATACTGTGCCAGGAGAGTAAAGATTTCTTCCAAACGCCGAACTCCAGGTGTTCTTAGCAATATATCCAACTGAGTTCCTACCGAATATAGCTTTGTATAGTGAGACATTTTTATATCGCAATATATTTCGATTATATCGCAACAACTTTTCCTAAAAACTATATGTATTAATTAATATTAAAGTATTATACATCAATCTGTGAATGGAATAGCACTATATATTAGGAATCCTACCGTGAATGTTGTATAAATAAACTTTTAATTTCATCAGCAATGAACAAATATTTTATCCACATTTTAGGTTTACAATTTTTCTCAAAAATTTTAATTGTCCTTTTCCGATAAAAAATATTTTCAATTTTTATTGTTTTGTATATCATATTGATATCACTGAATGTGCAGGCACAATACTGGTCAAAAAGTATTTGAGATAAATAATTTTTTAATTCTCTCACACAGATGTTTTATGACAAGTATAAGGAAAATGAGCAGAAAGAATCTGAAGAGGAAACGTACTGGAAAAGAAAAATAACATAGATTTTATTCAAACAGGCATAAATACTGGTCAAAAAGTATTTGAGATAAATAATTTTTTAATTCTCTCACACAGATGTTTTATGACAAGTATAAGGAAAATGAGCAGAAAGAATCTGAAGGAAACGTACTGGAAAAAAAAGAAAACATAAATTTTATTCAAACAGGCATATTTATGCCTGTTTGAATAAAATTATATAAATAACCTTTAATTTCATCAGCAATGAACAAATATTTTATCCACATTTTAAGTTTACAATTTTTCTCAAAAATTTTAATTGTCCTTTTACGATAAAAAATATTTTCAATTTTTATTGTTTTGTATATCATATTGATATCACTATTGTTGAATGTGCAGGCACAATACTGGTCAAAAAGTATTTGAGATAAATAATTTTTTAACTCTCTCACACAGATGTTTTATGACAAGTATAAGGAAAATGAGCAGAAAGAATCTGAAGGAAACGTACTGGAAAAGAAAAATAACATAGATTTTATTCAAACAGGCATAAATACTGGTCAAAAAGTATTTGAGATAAATAATTTTTTAATTCTCTCACACAGATGTTTTATGACAAGTATAAGGAAAATGAGCAGAAAGAATCTGAAGGAAACGTACTGGAGAAGAAAAAAACATAAATTTTATTCAAACAGGCATAAATACTGGTCAAAAAGTATTTGAGATAAATAATTTTTTAATTCTCTCACACAGATGTTTGATGACAAGTATAAGGAAAATGAGCAGAAAGAATCTGAAGAGGAAACGTACTGGAAAAGAAAAATAACATAGATTTTATTCAAACAGGCATAAATACTGGTCAAAAAGTATTTGAGATAAATAATTTTTTAATTCTCTCACACAGATGTTTTATGACAAGTATAAGGAAAATGAGCAGAAAGAATCTGAAGGAAACGTACTGGAAAAAAAAGAAAACATAAATTTTATTCAAACAGGCATATTTATGCCTGTTTGAATAAAATTATATAAATAACCTTTAATTTCATCAGCAATGAACAAATATTTTATCCACATTTTAAGTTTACAATTTTTCTCAAAAATTTTAATTGTCCTTTTACGATAAAAAATATTTTCAATTTTTATTGTTTTGTATATCATATTGATATCACTATTGTTGAATGTGCAGGCACAATACTGGTCAAAAAGTATTTGAGATAAATAATTTTTTAACTCTCTCACACAGATGTTTTATGACAAGTATAAGGAAAATGAGCAGAAAGAATCTGAAGGAAACGTACTGGAAAAGAAAAATAACATAGATTTTATTCAAACAGGCATAAATACTGGTCAAAAAGTATTTGAGATAAATAATTTTTAATTCTCTCACACAGATGTTTTATGACAAGTATAAGGAAAATGAGCAGAAAGAATCTGAAGGAAACGTACTGGAGAGAAAAAAAAATAAATTTTATTCAAACAGGCATAAATACTGGTCAAAAAGTATTTGAGATAAATAATTTTTTAATTCTCTCACACAGATGTTTGATGACAAGTATAAGGAAAATGAGCAGAAAGAATCTGAAGAGGAAACGTACTGGAAAAGAAAAATAACATAGATTTTATTCAAACAGGCATAAATACTGGTCAAAAAGTATTTGAGATAAATAATTTTTAATTCTCTCACACAGATGTTTTATGACAAGTATAAGGAAAATGAGCAGAAAGAATCTGAAGGAAACGTACTGGAAAAAAAAGAAAACATAAATTTTATTCAAACAGGCATATTTATGCCTGTTTGAATAAAATTATATAAATAACCTTTAATTTCATCAGCAATGAACAAATATTTTATCCACATTTTAAGTTTACAATTTTTCTCAAAAATTTTAATTGTCCTTTTACGATAAAAAATATTTTCAATTTTTATTGTTTTGTATATCATATTGATATCACTATTGTTGAATGTGCAGGCACAATACTGGTCAAAAAGTATTTGAGATAAATAATTTTTAACTCTCTCACACAGATGTTTTATGACAAGTATAAGGAAAATGAGCAGAAAGAATCTGAAGGAAACGTACTGGAGAAAGAAGAAGTGAGAGAATTAAAAAATTATTTATCTCAAATACTTTTTGACCAGTATTTATGCCTGTTTGAATAAAATTTATGTTTTCTTCCTTCTCCAGTACGTTTCCTTCAGATTCTTTCTGCTCATTTTCCTTATACTTGTCATAAAACATCTGTGTGAGAGAATTAAAAAATTATTTGTCTCAAATACTTTTTGACCAGTATTTATGCCTGTTTGAATAAAATTTATGTTTTCTTCCTTCTCCAGTACGTTTCCTTCAGATTCTTTCTGCTCATTTTCCTTATACTTGTCATAAAACATCTGTGTAAGAGAATTAAAAAATTATTTATCTCAAATACTTTTTGACCAGTATTTATGCCTGTTTGAATAAAATTTATGTTTTCTTCCTTCTCCAGTACGTTTCCTTCAGATTCTTTCTGCTCATTTTCCTTATACTTGTCATAAAACATCTGTGTGAGAGAATTAAAAAATTATTTGTCTCAAATACTTTTTGACCAGTATTTATGCCTGTTTGAATAAAATTTATGTTTTCTTCCTTCTCCAGTACGTTTCCTTCAGATTCTTTCTGCTCATTTTCCTTATACTTGTCATAAAACATCTGTGTGAGAGAATTAAAAAATTATTTATCTCAAATACTTTTTGACCAGTATTTATGCCTGTATGAATAAAATTTATGTTATTTTTCTTGTCCAGTACGTTTCCTTCAGATTCTTTCTGCTCATTTTCCTTATACTTGTCATAAAACATCTGTGTGAGAGAATTAAAAAATTATTTATCTCAAATACTTTTTGACCAGTATTTATGCCTGTTTAAATAAAATTTATGTTTTTTTTCTTCTCCAGTACGTTTCCTTCAGATTCTTTCTGCTCATTTTCCTTATACTTGTCATAAAACATCTGTGTGAGAGAATTAAAAAATTATTTGTCTCAAATACTTTTTGACCAGTATTTATGCCTGTTTGAATAAAATTTATGTTTTCTTCCTTCTCCAGTACGTTTCCTTCAGATTCTTTCTGCTCATTTTCCTTATACTTGTCATAAAACATCTGTGTGAGAGAATTAAAAAATTATTTATCTCAAATACTTTTTGACCAGTATTTATGCCTGTTTGAATAAAATCTATGTTATTTTTCTTTTCCAGTACGTTTCCTTCAGATTCTTTCTGCTCATTTTCCTTATACTTGTCATAAAACATCTGTGTGAGAGAATTAAAAAATTATTTATCTCAAATACTTTTTGACCAGTATTTATGCCTGTTTGAATAAAATTTATGTTTTCTTCCTTCTCCAGTACGTTTCCTTCAGATTCTTTCTGCTCATTTTCCTTATACTTGTCATAAAACATCTGTGTGAGAGAATTAAAAAATTATTTATCTCAAATACTTTTTGACCAGTATTTATGCCTGTTTTAATAAAATCTATGTTATTTTTCTTTTCCAGTACGTTTCCTTCAGATTCTTTCTGCTCATTTTCCTTATACTTGTCATAAAACATCTGTGTGAGAGAATTAAAAAATTATTTATCTCAAATACTTTTTGACCAGTATTTATGCCTGTTTGAATAAAATTTATGTTTTCTTCCTTCTCCAGTACGTTTCCTTCAGATTCTTTCTGCTCATTTTTCTTATACTTGTCATAAAACATCTGTGTGAGAGAATTAAAAAATTATTTATCTCAAATACTTTTTGACCAGTATTTATGCCTGTTTGAATAAAATTTATGTTTTCTTCCTTCTCCAGTACGTTTCCTTCAGATTCTTTCTGCTCATTTTCCTTATACTTGTCATAAAACATCTGTGTGAGAGAATTAAAAAATTATTTGTCTCAAATACTTTTTGACCAGTATTTATGCCTGTTTGAATAAAATTTATGTTTTCTTCCTTCTCCAGTACATTTCCTTCAGATTCTTTCTGCTCATTTTCCTTATACTTGTCATAAAACATCTGTGTGAGAGAATTAAAAAATTATTTATCTCAAATACTTTTTGACCAGTATTTATGCCTGTATGAATAAAATTTATGTTATTTTTCTTCTCCAGTACGTTTCCTTCAGATTCTTTCTGCTCATTTTCCTTATACTTGTCATAAAACATCTGTGTGAGAGAATTAAAAAATTATTTATCTCAAATACTTTTTGACCAGTATTTATGCCTGTTTAAATAAAATTTATGTTTTTTTTCTTCTCCAGTACGTTTCCTTCAGATTCTTTCTGCTCATTTTCCTTATACTTGTCATAAAACATCTGTGTAAGAGAATTAAAAAATTATTTATCTCAAATACTTTTTGACCAGTATTTATGCCTGTTTGAATAAAATTTATGTTTTCTTCCTTCTCCAGTACGTTTCCTTCAGATTCTTTCTGCTCATTTTCCTTATACTTGTCATAAAACATCTGTGTGAGAGAATTAAAAAATTATTTGTCTCAAATACTTTTTGACCAGTATTTATGCCTGTTTGAATAAAATTTATGTTTTTTTCCTTCTCCAGTACGTTTCCTTCAGATTCTTTCTGCTCATTTTCCTTATACTTGTCATAAAACATCTTTGCAGAAGGCCATCTGAAATACGAACAACGAAACAATATAATAAGAATAATATATGATATTTTAAATCGGCCAATAGAGAGCCAAAGCGCGAAAAATTAATTCTTCGGAACTGTATCTCTTGGTTTGAGATTACTAAGTTCCATATATAAATTAATCTCGAACTTACATATAAGTATATTTTATATAGGAATATACATAAAGGAATATTTTCCTTATGGACTTTCGGAAGCTCATAGGCCTTGGGGAGAAGGGAATCGCTAGAAAATAAATAATAATATTCCTTCTTATTGATGATATCTTTTTTCAACCATTTTAAAAAACAAATATTAAGTTCTTTTTCTATTTTAGATGACGGGTTATTTTTAACTATGATATAAGTAGAATCATCTTTTAAAAGACTCTCAACTTTTTT